GCGGACGCTTTGATTTGGTTAAGATGGCGTAATCTAATTCATGTCCTGCGTCGAGGACCTCGGTTAAGTTATTCATATCTGCAGTAGCTATCTAGTTACTTACTACTGTTCTAAAAATTTCCGCTAGCTCCGTGTAGACGCTACGCGGCTCGCCAGCATTTGAAAATTAAAAAAAGTGTGTATGGATTTGCTGAGGTGTCCGCTTAGACCGCACAGGCACCCGCCTAAATCCTCTAGGCATTCGCCTAACCGCCTAGCCTGTCGACTCATCTAAGTACCCGCCTAGGTTGCGACTCTTATGGACAGAAAATAGATAAATTTTATTTTACATATTATATTTTTAACACATTATAAAGGATTTGTTGAATACTTAAATAAATATACATTATATGTTTATTTTCAATATTTTCATTATGTTTCAATATTTCATAATATATATGTAATTTATTTTATAGTTTATATATATTTTAAGTATAAATAGATATTTATTTACACGAAATATAATAAATTTATTTAAATCCGTTCAGTACGTCTAGACGTTAAGTTCACGCCCGTCATCCGACTATCGTTTTAACGTTTTTTAAAACCTAATTTACTACAAACTCAAGTACGAGAAGACGAACGGTCCAATTTAATCAGCTTGCTTTACTTCTGCCATGCTTCGATAATTTCAGTTAATTTACTCATATATGCTTAGTCTATTTAGTCACTTACTAATTATAATTAGTAGCTCTTTTTATTTTGGTAAAATAATTAGTTGCTCTTTATTCAAACAGGAACTTAAGGATTTGGTACGTCATCAAGGATTAACAGTGAAATGGCGGCAATTTGGATGCGTTTAAGTTAATTATTCTTTATTCATCATCATTAAATAAATTTAAATTTTAAAATTTATGAACGTTGATCACATAATTTTGAAAAATAAATTTATCAAACCGTGATAAATAAATTTATCAAACTGTGATAAATAAATTTAGGACAAAATAATTTTAATCAAGTTTGAGATATTTATTTTAATTTTTAATTTTGGCGGGTGCTGATATTAGTGTACGGACGAGTGGTGGGGGGGGGGCAGTGCGCGGGTACTGAGGAGCGTCAGTTGGCAAATTGGTTGGGGGAGTGGGGGCCCACTTGGATCGGGAAGTAGTCCCACGCGCGATTATGACTCCACGTGGCGGAGGGGATGGGAAAGAGGGGGAGGTTTGGAAGATAGTGGAAGTGGCCACGTGGGCCTACGCTATGGGCCAGGGACCGAGGAGGGTCGGTTTGTCCTGGCTCTCGTCTACTCTATGTTGTATAGTTATTGACGACAACTGAGTGCTCAATTGGAAAAAATCTTGAATGCAATCGGAGTATGTTATTTGTCGTGTGACGAGAGTGATACTGAGAGCGATGTCAACACAAAAAATGTAAGAATGTACTCTTATCCTTATGTATTAAAACCTATCGATCGATAAATTTATTATAGCTATTAAATGGAACATCACAATGCTCATATATTTTACGTTTGATCGAGTATTATCACGTGTGAAAGTTACTTATGGTAGCATTACTAGTGTATTGCTATATAGAAATCTAATTGTAGATAAGTTGTTCCCCCCAAATTTAGTCAATAATATAATATTATGTGTAAATGTTTTAACGTGTGACTTTGTATTACTGGTCTATTACACCATGATATTTGTGTTTTTTTTTTTACATAGAGACAAATGTTTGAAACATCTTCGGTATAGTCGATATTTTTGTGGAATATCGGAAAAATTAGAGAAAGATTTGAGAAACTAAACCTCACCTCATATCTGAGAAACTCTAAATTTTCTGCTAACCGACAAATTCCGTTGATATTTTCTAATCTGTTAAATATTAGAGAAACTCTTATATTTCATTTAAACTAGTGTTTGACATCCTCTAAAGTTTTATTTCAAATCTCAACATTTTTAGGAAATTATCATCATTTTCATCGAAGACAACCGATTCAATATCGATATATTTACTGATATTTTACAAATTTACACCTCAATATTCTACCAATACTGATATTTTAAACAGAGCTACTTCTCATCAACGAGAAGAGATCCTCTCCGAATCTTTTCCACCAAGGCTACCGAATCAAGTGATCAGGATTTTTGAAATTTCATCAAACGGTCCATCTGTTTTAACCTCTTAAAAGCTATAATAATCTTTGACTATTGCATGAAATTTTAAAGGTCCGGATCACTTGATCCGATGATCTTGGTGGAAAAGATCCGAGATCCGAGAAGATCTCTTCTCCTCATCAACGCTACTTCTCATCAACTAACGGGTGTAGATTAGCAGATAGACACACGAACATGTGCATGTTGGAGTGAGCTGTGGAAGATGGTGGAGATGATGACGTGGATACTATATGGTGATGGACCCATAGCAGGTTAGTTAGGTGGGTTGGTGGGGACTGGTAAAAACGGGTACTACTGAGTGGGAAGGGAGTGGGGTCCAGATGGGCAAGTTCAGAACCGGAAGTGGCCTCTGACTCAGCGACTGACTAGCTCTTCTCTCCATGAGCCACGCATTCGGTGTCCGTGTGCCTCATCAGGTTCCTTACAACTTGCAATATACACATGCATAAACTACGGACTTCAAATTTATATGTTTTGATTAGGCTAACCATGCCGATGATATTGAGATAAGGGGAAGGTCATGGATGACTTAGGACTCAAGGAATATAATACCTATGTATTCTTGTAAACGAGTGGCGGAGTCAAAATTATATGTGAAAGTACATCGAGTTTTGAAGTGGGAAGGTTTTTGTTATAAGTTTGATTTTACATCGAAGAATTAAAAGATTTTTGCATATGCTTATAAACATTTGAGTTATTCATTTCAGGGAGAAGTCTTAACTTTCTTTATAGTACAAATATGTTAAATCACGTTTTGAGCCCAACGACTCTCGTGCTCCCACCTCACGAGCTGTGATGCGAGGTGAAAATGTGTGTTAAGAGTGTTAATTCCACCTCATGTTTGGATAATATCATGGTTTGGTGACTCTGCTCTTGTTGTCATCAATTATTGGTCATGTTTTAGTTTCCACATCTCCTTAATGGTTGCACATTCAAATCCTTGACCTTTTCATCGCATCACAATTTCGACATCTTCTTAATAGCAACTCAAAATTAAACTAAACAATCAATGGTATGTTGAAACTTTGTACTTTGGAAGGAAATTAAAACTTTAGTATAAAGAGCGGACACGTTGCTTTGAATCATGATTGACTGTCCTAATTCAATCTGCAACTCCCTCGATAAGATATCAATCGACATTGTTTGCGACGCATGTGCAAGCTGCACTGGTCCAAGCAAGCAATGGTCGATGAGCGGTGCACAACAGTACGCCACCATAACTGTAGGCCAGATGATCAAGATGTGAGCTGTTTGCCCTTTCTTCTTGCCCAAGAACTGCCATTAAAGGCGAATAAATAGTCCATGGACCATGTTGCGGCCAAGCAACTATGTGGCATGGATTGACTTCACATTGCAAGTAATTAAAACTTAGAAGAACCTCACACAGTTGGGCAGATAGGCTGTCGTCGGCTTTTCGTTTTCGTGACGTTTGTCGATTGACATTCACAGTTTGGGATGTTTGCCATAGGAATGTCTACTTTCAACCAAACATTTGGGCCTTTTGAAAATGGAGCTTGGCTATATAAGAATTTTAAGGTCATCAACTTGAGGAGGAAGTTGGGGCAAAATTTATGGTTTTGACCCACTGCGGTAAGTATTGCATTTCATTGCAACAGGTTTGTAGCTCGTATAGTTCAGACTGCTCATCTTTTGTATTCAATTGAGATTTTGAGGGGTTTTAATTCTTTTAATGAATCTAGGGTATTCAATCAAAATTTTAAGGGATTCCCTTAAATTCAAGGTGTATTCAATTAGAATTTTAAGATAGTTTATTAAAATCTTTAGAAATATGGGTGTATTTAATTAGGATTTTAAATAAGTTTATAACATTCCAGATGTATTCAATTAGAAATTGATTTTAAAGAATATGAGAAAGTTGAGGAATTAGAGGGAATTAGAGATATTTTGTAGTGTATTTTAAGTATCTACAAATCTCACATCTCCCTATGAGATTTTGAGAGAATTTAGTCAAAATTTTATATGGAATATCTACAAATCAATTAAACTCCATAAAAATCCATGGATTTATAAATCCATTAAAATATCTCAAATTCTTAATTGAATACACCCCCCTTATTGTGTTTGAATTTTCTTCTATTAATATTGCTTGTATCATGTATGGATTAATTTTAAGGAAAACTAATAAAAATGGCTTGAAAACTATGAGTTTTAACGATAAAGACAAAATAAAGGGTAAAGTGAATAGTATCAGGATTGATTTTTTAATGTAAAAATGTGGTTTTTTGTTAAAATGAACAGTACCACGAACTTTTCGTTAAAACTCCCTTAATTTTATTCAGTTATTAATTTCTAACTTCTAAGCTTCTTTAGTGTTGATCTAGCTATGTTAATAAATCAGTTTGGTGATGGTTTTGAAAGTCAGGACTATATATATCCCACTCCGATGTGTATTACCAATCAACTTATGTTATAACACATTACGTAGGTCCATGACATATATATCAACCATGAATTAGCAACACTACGTACATTGTGACCATCATAAGCACTTAAAAGCTTTTCATAAGTCCAAAGATTTACAGAAGCATGCTCATCAATAATCTTAGGTTTCATTTGATGTCTATGACTAAATTAGAATGGATGATTTTTCATTTTAAGGGAACGAGACATGAAAAAAATTTATCCGTCCTAAACTTACCATTTTGTGGGGGACTGTCATGGATAACTTTAGTTAACGAGTAATCCATTCTCTATCTTCAAGTTGGACGCAATTTTTCACTCTCCTTCAACATACCGTCGATATAGTGATTGATTTATTCACTTGAATCCAATCCTACATACTGAACGAGGCCATAAAATTCACTTCAAGTAAACAATAGGACATGAAATTAATAAAACTGCATTCAGCAAACCTTGATGTATGCAGAAATCCAAACATTTTTAAATGGACTAGTATTATGATGTTATTGTTCACATCAGAATATGTGTGTATGATCTATAAGGCAAGGCTGCACAAGGCTTAACATCCCGGACGAAAAATTAAAGCAAAGAAAATTAAGTGTGTGTGTGTGTGTGACATTCAGAATTTGCAGCAGAGAAATCGCATCCCCCAGTGCCGGTGCCGGTGTAATTGTCTATGGTCAGCGCTCCCCATTCTCGCCGGGCTGCCATTCCATTCCGAGGATAATCTGCTCATCATATCAAAATTCAAATAGAAAAAACTATATGATTATCCACGTATTACAATAACTGAGGAAAATATATAAGAGCAAGCACTAAAAATTAGGGTTAGTGAAGTTATGAGAATTTACATGGGAAAAGAGAAAGACCGAGAGCTAGTTGTGCTGCTGCTCGACCGAAAAGAGATGCTGCCAAAACCTGGTATTCTTCCTGAGTACGAAAACGAGCCCGAAGGAAGTTCGTATGCAGAGGAACTGGATCCTCTGCTGCAATGCTGGTGTCGTTGACTCGATTCTGCTAGGCCATCTGACATCCCATCTTCGGACGAATCATGCCTCAACATGTTTTCCATTTCTGGGGCATGAAACTCTGCGCTTCCGCTTGTATTTTCTAGGTCACCTTTTACAGAAGCATTGCTTGTCCGTCTGTTGTCACCCATAGTTATAGATAATCCCATTGAGTTTGCGGCCAAGACTGCGTTACTTGGACCCTAAACAACGCGAAATCAGAGACGGAATTAATTAAGTATGTATGATTAGTGTATGGCTAAGATAGTTCCAATATGTATGTGTTCGTATTGCTCGATTTATGCAGTGTTGATCGAGCATTAATTCGTGCTGGAAGTTTGCGAGTCTAGAGAATGACACAAACGTGACAGTGAAGAAACTAAAACTAATCTCTTGACTCTCCATCTTTTATAATGTTCGTATTACCAATGATCACATAAAAGATTTCAGAAAATGAAACAAACTTTAATGGTCTCTAAACGCGTAAAATGAAATCCAACTGGTTGGTAGGATTTGCCATCTGATACTGACCCTTAAACCTAATAAATTGTAACGTCGTCGGTGGCATTAATCTCCTCCGACTGTTTAAGACGTGACGGATGAGCATATTATCCTTCAATACTTGCAACCTAATTTGTAAGCATTTTCATCCTACGTACTCACTCGAAGTGAAGCGTTAGTTGACAGTTTTCCGAAGATGCAACAAATAAGATTTTATGTTCAAGGGGATTCAGTTCGAGCAACGAAATATTTAGGGACGTACCTGTCCAACCAAAAACACTTTTTCGGATATGATCTTTTTGATTGAATGATCATTTGATAGATCATCCTTTTTGCAGTCATTCTCATCCGTTGAAGTGGATGACTCCGAGTCCAGAGATTCTCTAATTGACTCGCTCTCGCTGTCCGGATCAGAATCAAGCATGCAAGCAGTGCTACTATGATAGAATTCACAGTTTTCTACGGAACACTTATCTTTGCATCGAACTTCCTTGTCAATGCAGATGTCCTTGAACAACTGGTAGTTGCTGCTCCCTTGAAGGAATGCAACCAACTCTGGCAAGTCATAGTCCATTGCAGCCTTTCTAGCAGAATCCTTCCAAGCTGCGCAATCACCAGCTGTCACGGCTTCCTTTATAGCGCGCATATTCTGACTATCATCTGGATGTGGATTCAGAACCACCTCACTGTCTTGACTTTGCAAATCAGAAATGAACAGATTATCATCGTTTGAACTAGTACTTTTTTCCACCTTCAATCCCTTCATGGCTTCGGAATTTTTGAACTTGAAGGAATTGTAAACAGGCTGGAAGACCATGGTTGAATGGCCATCCATGGACACCCTATTGAACTGCTAATCAATACGAAAGAACAGCTAAAACTTATTTCGCTATTAGTAACGAAAAACAACGAGACTGGTATTATGCAACTGATCAAATTAATAGGTCAAATAATTTTCTATGTCAAGAAACAATTAGTGCACACATAGGCTATTAGGCGGTGATATAGAAGGTTTGGAACTAATTTGACACATCCTGCTCGGTAATGCAAACACATATTTTGCAGAAACATGCATTTGTTTAAACTAACGTTAAAGAAAGAAAATTCAGACACAAAATTTTGAGGTATATTTACTTCGGTTAGTATGAAATCGAACCTTTATCCTTCGTAATTTCTTTCTGATTTCCCTTTTGTTCGTAAAGATCAAATCTTAAAACTGTTGTAGTGTTGCAACTATTGCTACTCACCTGGCAGGTGCAAAACATTATGAAATAGAAGGCTCCACCATTTCATCAGAACCTTCTCCAAACAATCCAGATTTTAACAATCCTTCCGCGACCTGCATTAGCGAAAATCGTACTTCAGAGGCAGGGTTTTGTTTCAACAGATTAAAACTTATGTTGTTTAATTTAATCCACGTAAATAGAAGTCAAGAATGCAGGTGAAATTGGAAAAAATGCTGAGACAAAATCATCATGAAAAAATTAGGAGGAAGCAACATAAGAACTTGCAAAAAAAGCACTTTGTATTCAAATAAAAAAGCAGAGAAAATCAGAATCTGGCTTACGAGGTTAGAAGATGTCCAATTCTTCATGTCTTTTAAAAGCAAACAGATTTTACTGAAAACTCTTCATGATTAAATGAACAAAATGTAGCCAACTTGGTTGGAGCAGTGTAACTCTCTTCTCGAGACTTCGATTTCCCTTCTGTAATTTAGATTAGATCAGAATACCGCTTGAATACAAAAAATGAATTTAAGAGATAAGCATCCTGAATTTGGACAGTTTTTTACCAGAAGCAAATGCAGAAATTTATAAAACTTCCAAACTTGTGTAACAAATCCAATGAAAAATTCCCACATAAGCATTGCTTACCTGGCACATGGGAATTTGTGTATTTGTGCTAACACACATGGTTGGGGTTTTAATTACTTGTATTAGGTGAATTGAACATCACATGTAACACTGATTTAAATTTCTTCTCCCAATTAATTTTCTGGTTTATGTTGCCCCCTCTTTTTTAGGTTAATACATTAAATAAATTGCCAAAAAGAGAAAAACCCATGATTCAACGTTTCTTCTTTCAAAATTTTCTGGTTATTTGATGTACAACATCTGAAGGATGACAAAAGGACATCGTAGGAATTTACAAATTCAGCATCCGAGCTATGTTTTGAGCCCATGATACATTTTTGCAAAGAGCACGACATCCCGGTTCAAAAACACAGTTTTACTGTTATTTATGATGGATTTAGCTATCCAAGGTTGTTTAGACTTCCAAAACCGCATGTTAAAGTTTGTAATAAAAATCAGACTTTTTGTTTAACGTTTTATTAATTTCTTTACATTTCCTAAGACTTCTTTGTACATTTCCTTAGACTCCCTCCCCTAAGCTTCCCATTGGTCGATCTAAGTCTATTTAAGCCTTGTGGCTGCTATTGTAATCATCAATTCAATATTAATCAACTAAACTTTTGGGTGGATTCTATAAAACTTGATTCTTCAATGGTATACGTTTGTATCCCTCTACACTCGTCTCCATCATTATTATATAGATAGTTGAGATGTGGAAGTAAACCTTTGAGGAGGAGATAATGAAAATGACAACCTATAATCTCATTGCAGACGTCGATTAGGCCAATTAGTTTGAGAAAAAAAAAACCATAGAAATACCAAAACAACATATAATTGGAAAATAGAATTCTCAGTTCACCAACTTTTCACAACCTGAATTACTCAACAAAAAATCATTGAATTAGATTATAATTGATAAACAAAACTACCTACCTTTCTTATCACTCCAGAACAATCCGAAGCAGATTCTTCGGTGCTGCTCTGCATCTACATATATACTCAATCATAATGCAAGTATTTAGAATCGAGAGAGGAGCTTGCAACTAAAGCCGTTAAAATTATTTTCATCTGCGCTTGAGGTTTTGTGTTTGATTTTTTCACCCTAAGTATTGCTGGTATAAACGAAAAATGTATCCAAAATCCAAGATATTTGAGGCTGTTGAGTCATATATAAAGCATTTTTAGAGGAAGCTAACCGTTGCAGAAGGAACATGACAATTAAAAGGACAGTTAAAACATTGAATACTCATGAAGGAATGAATAAAGCAGGTATTTATAGTAACTGAACTGTCGCTTTAGCCAATACGAAATCTTGTAGATTATGTTTTCTCGGTGACATCTCCCTTTTCTTTTTCTTTTCCTTTTTTTTTTAATTTTTTATTTCGCGATAGTCCCACCTGTCCTGCTAAATAAGTACAATTAGCTGCTATTTAGTACTATTACAAGCGCAAGTCCTTGAAGAAGTTTTGGAGTGGACCAGAATTTGAGAGCAGTTCTACCGGAGGTGGAATAGCCTGGCATCCAGTGGAAAAAACAAGTTGGGACTCAGCCAATTCACTCCAACCCGTGGAATAGACTGGCACCCAGCCCAAGCCAGTCCACAGGCCGACCTAAAATCGACAGAGGAAGGAGACGACTCATTTGACGCCATGTTGACGTCATGGCTACTGTCTCTCTCATCTGGAACCCCATCCGACGCCTGGAACTCGATCCCTGGAACTCCATCAATCGCCTTCCCCTAATAAATCCATATATTCAACACCATGTCCCCCTTCCCCTTGCGAGCTCCGGTAAGGAGACGACGACGAGGTTGCGCTGCCCTATGCCGAGGAGGAAGCAGTCGTCGAATTTCTTGGCGAGGTCGATGGGATTACGGTGGTTGAGGTCGTCGCTGACCTGGAGCCAGTTTCCAAAAACAGGTACAGGTATGAGACCAGGCGGGAGCTTGAATTTCTTGCCACGGAGAGACCCATAAGGTTCTTTTCCAGGAGGATAAGGTCCATTTTTGGGGGAGCGTTGGTGTGGTGAGTAGTTTGGTGGGTGTACGGAGCGTTGGTGTGGTGAGGAGGAGGTCTATTTCCAGAAGAAGAAGAAGAAGGGAAGAAGAAATCAGAAAGTAAAAAACCAAATTATTATTTTATAATAAAAATTAATAATATTTTAATAAAATTAACTAGGCTATTTAGTTTTAGGGGTGGAGATGCATTAGTCTACTACTATTCATTAGTCTATCACTATTCACTGAAGTTGATAAATGGGTTGGGTGCTGGCACAAAGTCCTTAGGGGTGGACTTACTCTGAGAGAAGAGAATATTAGGTAGATTAAATTTGCAAATTAAATGACGCGTCACTAATAAGAAATAAGCATGTTAATCAACACTTAAGTAATAATCTAATCATCAATTGTCATGGTATTTAGTTAACGAAACTTAGATCAGTCTCTCTAGCATTGGAAGCCAACATTACAAAAGCATAAACTCAGTCTTGGAAAGCAAGAGTCTTTGGAACAAACAACAACGATAACTGAACGTTGAACAAAAAGTCTAATTTTTATGACAAAATTTAAAAAGCGTTTTTGAAAGCTTAAACAATCTCAAATTGCTAAAATAAAAGGAAAACTAATGAAAATAGCTAAAAACTTAGAGTTTTAACGATAAGGACAAAATAAAGGGTAAAGTGAATAGTACAATGATTGACTTTTTAGTGTAAAAATGTGGTTTTTCGTTAAAATAAACAATATCAGGAGCTTTTCGTTAAAGTTCCCTAAAATCAATTAAGTATCAACAACATAATTATAAAAAAGAGAACTTTAAAGAAGAGCTTTTGATATTGTTCACTTTAACGAAAAACCATATTTTTACACTAAAAAGTCAATCATGATACTATTCACTTTACCATTTATTTTGTCATTTTCGTTAAAATTCAAAATTTTCAAGTTATTTTCATTAGTTTTCAATATAAAAACTAGCAGACAGCATATACTTTGTGTGTGTGAACAACCTTCCACCTCCTCCCACTTTCTCCTTAAGTGCAACCGCTTCAGTTCATTCAAACTATCCAAAAAACATCATCATATCACTTACCTGTATGAAAAAATGATGGTGGGTCAATTTCTCTTAATAATTGCATATTTTTATCATATGTAAATATTTTGATACAAAATAACCATTTTGCCCTCCTTATGTAAATATTATGTATAAAAAATGACGGCAAAATAGAAAAAAATGGAGATATGATTGTCATTTTGTCAAAAGATACAAAATTACTATTTTACCCTCCACAAGTCAACATTGTGTATTCAAAAAGTGAAGGCAAAATAAAAAAAAAAAGGTAAAAAGTTGACAAGCCATTTTCTTTTAATAGAATAAAAGAATAAATTTGACGGCACCGTAACTAAAATCGACCAGCAAAAAATCTCCAATTCAGAGATTAGAAAAATAGTTATTTTGGCCAAGTTTCCAATTACATTTCTTTTGTTGGTAAAACAGAGGGCATTTTGGTAAAACGCACCATTCGTTGAGAAATCGATTGTCCGAAAAGGAAACAGTTTTTGAAAACACAGTCCCCGACTGTGCCACTCTCTCTCTCTCTCTCTCTCTCTCTCTCTGCAACTTTTGATTTTTGAATTTTATTTTCAGAAAGAAAACAAATTGGGGAAGAAGGAGGAGGATGTACGACCCGCAGCATTTCCTGGAATCGCAAGAGAATTCCAGTAATTTCGGGGACCCAAAATCCTGGCTTTCCGGGGATGCCAACTCGTCCCCGACCCACCGCTCGACTCAGTCCTCACTCGCTCACTCCTCCACCGCCACCAACAGCAATCTCGATCGCGTCCTCTTCAAAGACCTCGTCGAGATCGTCCCTCTCGTCCAGTCCCTCATCGTAATTCCTCTCTTTCTCTCTCTTGGAATGTGAATTTCAGGGCTTTCTGGGATTTTCTTTCCAGTGTGTTTGGTTGCCGGCCGAGAAAATTTGGGAAAGTAGCCGTTACTGGCGGGCTTGGGATGAATTAGATAGTTTTAAAGATTGCTGCTTTACTTGTTTCTGATTTGGTTTTGAAAAAAATGGAATGGGGTTTTTGAAATTAGTGATTTTTTTCCTTCTTTACTCACAATTTCTGTGAAAAAATCTTTCAGGATCGGAAAGCTAGCAGTTCTTTTACGCGGCGGGGTTCGGTGGCCTACACCAAGACACCTTCAAGAGAATCCTTACCCAAAAAAGTATGATGTTTCGGTTTTCTGAAGTTGTGATTGTTAATTTCTATGATGAACAATGGCATTCTTTAATTTGTTACATTTACTTTGCACACAATTAATGCTTGCTACTCAGATTGTTCTGATTGCTTTATTAATTTAGGAACAATCAACTGTGATCTATCATGGAAAGTTGTATGCTTTTTATTAGTGATCTAGTTGCAGTAAATCCAAATGTAGTAAAAACTATCTGGATTTCACTTTTACCATGATGGCATGTCAAACTGGTGATGTTGAACTACTGTTTGTTGTCGTTCGAAGAATTTGATATCTGAGAGTGTTTCAAGGCCTCAAATAATTTATTTTCCTTTATGGTTTGTTTGTTATGCATATTCCTTTTATGAGGAAACAAGTAATGCAATAGATATTTGAATTAATGCAAAATCTAAGAGGTTCATTCGATTCGGTGGATTATTGATGTCAAATTTCCATTACCAATCATCCTTGGGATTTCATTTTGATTCTCAAGCTCTTACTTCGTATGTCAATTCTGTTTTGTAAGGGTTTTAAAGTCTTCTGTATTTCTAACTTCGATCAATTTAATTTCTTTGCATGATTCATCAAATGGGTTCCTAATGTTCCTCTCTTCTTATCTTCTAAAGGTTGAACAAAAAGGGAGGAATGTGGCTCAATCCATTCCCGCCAGACAGAAGAGGGATCATGGAGACAAGGTCTCAAGCAAAAATGCTGGCAGCCTTGATGCTGACAGCTTTTCAAGTTTTTCCTCAAGGGCTTCGGCAGCGGAAAAAGAAGAGTTGGATACATTAAGGGTACTGGTTGATGATTTGCAAAAGAAAGTATCAGAGAAGGAGGAACTTTTAAAGTCGTCAGAGGTCTCAAAGGACCAATTGAACACTGTTCAAGCAAAACTGAATGAATATAAGCACCAAGTTGCAGAAAAAGACACGGTAATAAAGGCTGCTAAGCAACAACTCTCTGATGCAAAGGTATGTATGCATCACTTGGTGCCATGGCAGTGATTAGAGATTTCTTATCATATTTAATTTCCTTGTGATACCTAATGACATTATTCATTCTGGAATTTTGGACTAGTGAACTGTGGTTGTAATGTTAGTTGTGACATTGTTTTTGATCTTTTCCAAATTGGCACGATTGTTTGAAACATTACCCGTGTTAATGCAGAAACAGATATCTGTGTTCTTTATTATTTTATTCAATATTCGGATCTTCTTTTTTACTTTGGTTTAATCTAGACCACAACATAGCCGCTTGCTTAAAATGGAATATCATCACGGACTCTCTCTCTCTGATGCACACACGCAACACTATTTTGCGAATTATAACGTTATTAACATCTGTCGTTTTTCACAGATTAAACTTGCAGACAAGCAAGCTGCTTTGGAAAAGTTACAGTGGGAAGTGATGTCATCCAACAGGAAAGTGGAGAAGCTCGAAGGAGAGCAAGACTCCTTGCAAGGACAGATTTCGTCATTTATGCTCCTAATTGAAAGCTTGATGAAAGCCGATCCCATTATATACGGTGAAGATTATGATATTTCAACGTGTACTGTGGATCATCTTCCTCACATTGTAAGTTCACAACCCCATCCCCTGGATATGGTGGTTAATTTCCTTTATATTTTTTTTGGTTCATTCTGTCATTTGTTTTATTGTATGCTAACTAATTGCTCGAGACACCTCTATCGTTGCAATCAGATTACTGTATCATTACCATTAAATTTTCAGATATCTGTTGTTTGTTACTTGGTTATTGTGTGTGGTTAACCAATCGCGTGTATTGAGAATTGTTTGTTCGTGTATGTGTATCTGCTTGTTTGCTGCATTCCTTGCAACTTAAAGATCCTTGCTTTAATGACCAGGATAATTTGGATGAGGCACAGATGAGGAAAATGGAAGAAGCTAGAAGAGCATACATCACTGCTGTTGCTGCCACAAAAGAAAAGCAAGACGAAGAATCTATTGCCGCTGCAGCCAGTGCAAGGTTACATC